AATAATGTACACGTTCTTCATAGAGTTTCCAGTGAGGCTTTCAGCAAGGTGAATGTGGGCAAGCCTGTCTTTTTGTCCCAACGTCGGCACAATCCCATCTGCCTGCAAATTCCGGATGCGAACACTGCAACGCAACATTTAGAAGGGCTGGGAACTTGGGTTTTAATCAGGGGAGGATTTAAACGCAGCGTAATCTCTCCCAGGCATCAGAGAAGTGCTGCACACTGCTGTTGATGCAGGAATGGCAGAATGGATATGACCATTGGAGACGCAGCGAGTTGAGCAGCCCTCTGTGCGCTGCCTTCCACCCTGCGCAGTGGCCCTCCATCAGCCCCCCTGGGCTGTGTCTCCAGGAGGCTGCTGCCACAGTCCTGAGGGTACTTACTGTGTAGGGGAATTCTTGAAAGTGCCCCTAGGATTGAGAGGGAGTAGCGTAGGAACAAGATTGAGAAGGGATGTCGGTTTTTTCTGAGGGGTGCTCGAAGGAGGGGGAGAGATCTGTGCTGTATGTGTCCGTCTAGAGGTTGGGCTTTGTGCTCAGAGCTGTCTGATGCAATGACAGGTTGCAAGGTGGTTGCAAGCAAAGGCAAAATGTAACCCTCGTGGGAGGAGATGCCTGAAATGATCTTTTGCAGATGGAGAGGAGGATGTATAAGTTCAAACACACACAGGAACAGCAGCCTGAATGAAAAAAGTACAGAGATGAGGGAGCAGGCACAAGTGCTGGCAACCCATCTGTTTTGTGTTGTGTTGTGGGTTATATTTGTGTGCAGATGAAGGCACAGTGGAGTGTCTGCAGATGCCTGTGACTGGCCCTGTGAAAGGGAGATATTCATTGAGCAGACTGCGAAGGTGTTTGTTGTGATGGCCAAGTGACACAGTTCCTGGGTGGCAAGTCACTAATTTTGACAGGCATTGCCTCTGGGAGATCTATATAAACTTGTCCAGGGATGTTTCCTCTGGAAAGAAATTATTATTCCTGAGGCAAGGCTTGGAGGGAGAGTATCTTGCATTACAGGAGCTGGCAGAGCTGGAAAAACGGAGTAATTTTCCACCGTGCAAGCTCTTCCTCTGGCTATAATCCCTGACATGTGTTGATAGCAGATCAGCTGTTACTTATGTGGGTGCCCAGGTGTGCTGGGCTGACCCAATACACCAGGTATGTCTGTATTTATTGCGGAGTTTGCTAGTCCCAAAGGGTATGCTACTACATTTTGTGGGTTTGATATATTATTCCATGAAGTAACTGTGAATCAAAAGGGCCGTTATTTTCAAAGGGCTGCTCTAGAAAACCTCTCTGTAATTTTGTTCCTAGGAATTACTTGTGAGTACAGTGGTCCTTTCCCTCACCGGCACAGTGGCAGAACAGGTCAGCGATTCTGTGCTCAGTTCTTGGAGGTAAACCACAGAACGTGGCCACATCATAGGCAAATCATCACTTACAGTAACCATTTCATATAATTATGGTTTTCTATTTTGGCGCTGTTTTTAATATCTTTTTGGCATATTTCATGCACAGAGGTAATGTTTTAAGTGAAAACCCACTAATCCCAGCGAATCTAGGTAAACTGTCCTATGTAGCGTATGAGTACTACCACAAGGACTCCGTAAAAATGTCGCCGCAGTGATGCCAACTGGAAGGCAAAACTGTTTTCCACTTAATTTAGCGTTTTCTATACCTGACTGTGTTAGAAACCCAGAAATTCTGTAAAAACGGAGTGGTATATATATGTATATAGGTTTTAATCCTGCGGTATTTGTATATATATTTAGTATATTCCCCTGCAGACATAGAATAGAATAGAATAGAATAGAATAGAATAGAATAGAATAGAATAGAATAGAATAGAATAGAATAGAATAGAATAGAATAGAATAGAATAGAATAGAATAGAATAGAATAGAATAGAATAGAATAGAATAGAATAGAATAGAATAGAATAGAATAGAATAGAATAGAATAGAATAGAATAGAATAGAATAGAATAGAATAGAATAGAATAGAATAGAATAGAATAGAATAGAATAGAATAGAATAGAAGAGCTCGTGGTCTGAATAGAGAAAATAAGATCTTCAGCACTGATTGTATTACCGAGCAGTAACTGAAGTCATTGTGCAAAGCCGCTCCAGTTCCTTTTCTCTAATAAAACGTGCGTCTGCTGAAACCCCTCAGCCCGGGGCGCGGGTTTAAGAACGCGTCGCGGGGAAAGCACGGTCCCGGGCTGCAGACGCCAGCGTGAAGGCAGCCCGGCAGAGACCGCGAAGGCAGCCCGGCAGAGACCGCGAAGGCAGCCCGGCAGAGACCGCGAAGGCAGCCCGGCAGAGACCGCGAGGGCAGCCCGGCACAGACCGCGAAGGCAGCCCGGCACAGACGCTGTCGTCTGCCGGCCTCGGGAGCCCCTCCTGGGGCTGCACCGGGCCCACCCCAAACTGGGGG